GAAACGATTTCGCGATCTTCAGAAACTATTTTGCGATCTGCAGAAACTTTTTCTTGCACGCTTCAGCAAGTATTCTTCAGAATTTCCACATTGTATCCAACTTGCATGAAGGAGCACTGGGGGGTGTACCTGGTGACGAAGGACCAGTTTCCGAAGATTAGTTTCCGAAGAAAGCCGTAAAGTTTCCGAAGAAGAGTTTCCGAAGATCACCTTTTAGTTCCCGAGTAAAACTTTGACCACTCCTCCACCCCACTCCATCTGCTGGAAGCTCCCTTTCTTAGAACCGTGGCGTTGGCCGTGGCAGGCTTGGTGCCCTTCGCCTTAGTGCGACGACTGAACGCAGAAGTGCTCACCACACCGATATGGCCCATACGCCTATGATAGCCAATAAGCTTTGGTTCCAGTGATGCCATAGTTCCCTCCATGAGTATCCGTGAATGATCGTGAATGTAGATAGACAGCCTCAATTATATAGCGATTCAAAGTGACCTTCAAGATCATATCTGAAGAGGCACCGCTTCTGAAACCATAATGATATATTCGTAATTAATGTGTCCCGCAGACTATGGTAGACATTGCTAGACTGGTAGACCTCTCCATGGTCCAAGAAAAGGACACTAGCATCAAGGAAACTCGAAAACACTTCATTTGGTCAAAATATGGGTTCGGTTTTTGAGTTTCAACTTAGCAATCAGGAACAATCAGGTCGTAAGGCTTGCTTCTTTTCGTTGCTCCGACTCCTTGTTCCCTTCATGCTCCGGCTCCTTCCACCTCTCCGAAATTTTCCTCTTAGACTTGAGATATCTTGGGATTATATAGCTTTGTTATGCTTTGCTGAATCTTCCTCACCTCTTGATCTTGAAACTACCTCTGGAAGTTGAATTTGGATGCTGGGGATTTGGGATTATCCTCTGACCTGCAGCCTGAACTCACCTTACTTACAGGAAGCCTGCACAACCTCTACAGTTTATTGCATTTGGGTTTCGTGATGTTTCGTGCATTTTGCCCAAACCCACCTGTTCTGGCGTTCGTGGCAGGCCAGAATCCCCTCCGCGGCGTGGCCATAGCCTTGTCGGTTTCGATTTCTTCCGCTTGTCGGTTTGGACGACTGAACGCACTCGAAGTCTGGATGGGGAACCTTTGTGCCTAAAATGACATGGCTTGGGCAACAACACAGCCCCTGCTGCCCCAATATACTGAACTCGGCTTGCGCAGGCATAGGCGTGTTGGCTCAGGTGAACGTAGGCAGGGTGCGATCCCACTACGTGACACGATTCACACTCCGAGACGAGGAGCGACAGGGCGAAAACGGACATGGTGGTGCGACCATCGGATTTCAGCCTCAGCCAGAGCTGCTTGGAAAACGAGAGCCTCAAACAGATGGCCAGTTTCCGTGCAAAGAGCATCGATCGACCTAGGGACCAAAGGTTGTTGATTTCTGCAAAAACAAAGACAAAGTGGCTGTTTCATTGGCCAAAGCACTTAAGGTTCGGGCAGCTCCTTGGCAGCTTCGTGCATATTGACATGAATTTTGCAACGAGCAGACTTTGGCTATCCCAAAGCTTCGTTGAAGAGTTGAACAGAGAAGAGATTTGTGTGTAGATAGATAGCTGGTAGTGTGTGATAGGAACGGTATTCTCTTGCTGTGCTATGTTTAGATTATACAATAAGTTATTATGGCCGCTACCCACTGTTAGGTACCTGAAAAGCCTCTTACAGAGTTTTCTTCTTGTGTGGGTGTTTTTAGCTTTTTTTGTGCCTGTCTGTTTTGAATGAGGTCCTCCAAAACAGTTCAAGAAGAAATTCGATTCAAAGGACCTCAAATTTGGTTTCGACACACGCCGGCAGAGTAGCAGACATCCCAGCATGCCTCCAGAGTTGCTTTTACTTGTCGATATCAATGAATGATACAACATAATTTCTCATTGAATAGTTTGTTTGTGGCAAGACTGGCACCATTTGCCGAACAGGCTGATATGCCAGGGGGCTATGTCAATGCAAGACATGATTTTGCACCACAACGTTTGTTTGGCTTGCAAGCTACACAAACAAAATTACAATTTATTGAATTCCATTGAGCCAGTGGTTGTGCATGGGCTTCAACATCTATATACCTCTCCCCTCTGATTTTTTAGACTGATAGTGAACGAACCAACAATGGTCGAGCACAGCGCTTTTGTCGTTGATTCCATTTCTGCAGGAGCTCAACAACTTTGGAAAATGTCGTTGGACGCTTTCTCCGCACAGAGAACTCAATCAGTAGATCATGAGGGCTGCTGACATTTGCTGCAAGGTTTACTTTGCTCTTTACCGTCAACTCTAATTAATTGAAGGAGCTACACGCAATGGGAATTGATTTTCCAGTTGCCATGCGAGTAGGTCTTATTCTCCCCCAACCAGCAAGTTGTTTTGATCTCCTTGCATGTGCTTGCTGTTATCCTTCGCCCTCTTTCTCAGGCGGGCCTACTTATTGGTGACATCGCTTCCATGGGATTCTTGGCAGGGCAAAAGCAACACTATACTCGTATGATCTCGTATGGCCTCTAGTTGAGGGGATTGCCGCAACCACAAAGTTCCGAGGAAATCGCTGTAAGCCTGGTGATTTGTGGCAACTTTGTGGTAATCATCCTTGAAGCGAATTATGGAGCTGCTTGTGATGGGGACATGGTTAGCAACGCTGGCCTGATTTGTCGGCTCGCGGGAGTGTTTCCTGTAGCACTTAGGGTGAATATATGTGAGTATTCTGTGTCGGACTTTCACCACAGCTAAACCAGATTGTTGACGATCTCTATCCTCGCAGCTCACAGCAACTGTTCTTTTTGCAACGGAAGCAGTGAGCACTGTCCTGTTTGCTGGTTTGGTTGGACTGGAAATGCTGATTGAACTTGCCAGATTGACAGGTGGCTGTGTGCCTGGCTATTTGGCAGTGGTGAATTACTGCTTTGTGGGTTTCTACACATTGGAAGCATTGGTCACTCAGCGAACTCGTCATGCACATGGTGCCCACTGCGGGATTTGCTCGCAATTCTTTGATGTGATGTCTTTCCAACAAAAACATACAAAAACACACTAGAAGGCCTTACGCAGGCCTTAGGCTTAGGACCCCTTTACCTATGAGGGCCTTATGAAGAAGGCGCCTAAGGGCCTCAGACCACCCCTTCGGCCTTAGGGTGCGACTCTGTGAAACGTTTTTGTGAAGAAACAAGGCCGCCACTTTTGTCGAACACGATGATGATTGATTGGCACAATAGTTGGCACAATGTGTTTTATATATTTGTACTTTTTGGCGGCTGGGTCGAGCCGAGGCAACTTTGTTTGTTTACAGGGCACGTGTATGTCGGGATCACTGGACTCTCTTTGACCTGTGCATTGTGTTAATGGCTTGGGTGGACATGCTCGTGTCAGCTATAGTGACGACCGCATCTTGGCCAAGTGAATCCCGAAGGGCGTATCCAATTGACGAGTTTGCCCCATCGACGTGACACCTGCAAGTCGAAACATGAATTTGGTGAAACAAACGACATGAAGAAAGGAAGCATAAGGGAGCTATGACATGATATCGTAACTGAACACTGCATGACATCGCAACCACCCAGGCAGGTCTGCAGGAAGTGCAACTCCTGCGACTCTTCCGCATTGCGCGGCTGGCGCGAGCAGCCAGGACTGTCCGCAAGACAACACGATAGCAGTCTAGCCTGAAAGAATGAACGTGAGCGATTTGACAACAACTCAACAAATCATGAAAGAAAGTGAATTTGCCCTCTTCCAAACCGTGGACATTGGTGAAATTGTTTGTTGACCAGGCTCCATTCCTAGAGTGGTACTTGTGAGACACTCTTTTGTGCAAGGATCGTGCACATGTCCCCCGAGTTGAGGGCTATGATGAATGGCGTGATCAGTGCGCTGACCACGGTGTTTTGGGGGTCGCTTGGTGAAGTCAATCCACATCCAAGTTGCAGCTGATGGCAATGTGCAGATTTCCAGTGATAGCCAAGACCAAGTAACACAGGAAACAGTTGAATGTTCATATTCTTTGCTTTGAGGGCTTTTATATACGTAACATGTTGTTCTACATTGTGCCAGAGCCTTCATGCAAAGTGAGGCTTATAATGGTGATGCTCCTCCTGGCCGTATGGGCTGTCCTTGCGGTGGAGCTTTTGTGCCATGGCCGTAAGCTTTATGATTTCTGCAACAGATTTGAGAGGTCCCTTCTCCCTTTCAGATCCTTTCAGTACAAGAAGAAAGGTCAAATCCACTGCTATGCGTTCCACCGCGCCCAAGGCACGACACAGCCCAAGATGTACATGCAGACAAACCAATCTGTGCAGAGGCATATGTCTGTCTTTGAAAGATATTGAAGAAGCTTTGTTGAAGAACCCTTGTGGCTGACAGCCTGTTCCAGCTTGCTGCATCTAGCAGCCAACCTGTTCCCCAAAAGAAGAAGCACTGCTAGACGGGCTGCGAAGCACTGCTGAAGACGGGCTCGAGGCATTTGATTCCGTCTTCATGGTGATGTTGATGTTCTTCCAGACTCTCATGGCTGGGGACAGCTGGGGTGACTGTGCAGTCCCCATGATCCAGAGAAATCCACTCTCCCTCATTATTTTTGGAGGTGTCTAGGATGCAATCACTGTCAGATTTTGCTCTTGTTGCTCAGCACGTTGAGCACCATATTTTGACCATGCTCATCTATTGTGATCCAAGCAGATCTATCGCCAAATTGTAAACTTTTTGCAAGCACAGTATCAGTGGCTTTACATTCACTGGTTTGTGCAGATTTGAGAAAGTATCACTGTTTTCTCAGTGTTTCGGCCAGTCAGGCTCCTTGTTGACCGTCCAGCTTGGTTTTGCGAACTTGGTCTTGGACGCTTTGCATGAATCAGAGGTTGCTGATAGGATACATATGGTGGACACATGTGGACATTGCTGATACACTTCTTCTCTTTGTCTCCTTGCAACCTTTGAAGTCTTTTGACCCAGGCTGTGATAGTCGAGCGGGCGCGCCAAGCACATGAGGAGGAGCAAAGGCAAAACCTGTCTGAACAGCGGCAAGCTCAGTTTATCAGACTCAACAGGAAGTCTTTGTCATATTATTCATGTTGCTTTATGTTGCTTCCAAGCGGTACTGTAGATTTCATGTGATCAAACGCTGGTTGGCACTGCTTCTCATTCTCCTTTCCCTTGTGACAATTTTTCTTCCCTGGAAGCAAAGAATCGGTTCTCAAGCAGCGGTTCATTTCCCAGGATCAAAAAACGCCGTGAAGCAGAGAACCGGTTGCTTGAGATGTGTCAGCGCATTGATGTGGACAAAGATGGAGCCTGGGCGACGGTTTTCAGAACGTCCTTCTTTTCAGGTCTCAAAAAAGTGCTCCAAAAAGAGGACCCCCAAGAAGATCACTGGAACAACATTTTTCCATGTCAAGTTTGAATCAAAGGGATCTTTTTTAATCAAAGGATTTCCGTCGGCGCCACTCTCCGGGAATCCACTCGGGAATCGGATGAATCGGATTGCGTAGATGGGATTGCCGATGGAGCCTGCCATGGTTTCGACCTAGGAGTTTTGACGCTGGAAGAACTCATGGAGGCTTATGCTACTAATGAGGCCGGAAGCAACGAGCGGTACCAACGAGCGAACCGAGACGAACCGAGTGCCCAACATTTGATCCAATCGGAAAGCTGAAAGACTCCAGGGACTGCAGGGACTCCAGTTGGCAGGACTTCAGGAAGACCTTGCTCCTTCTTGAGATTGATGAGACAGATCTGATTTGCCTATTTGACCTCATGGATGTGGACCGCTCGGGAGATTTGACCTATGAGGAGACGGTATAGAGTCATTTAGAGTCTATAGTATAGTGTGAGGTTCCTTCAGTTGCTTGTGGGCAGAGGCTCGTTGCAATGCTCATTCCTTCAAATCACATACTATTTGACGCCCTTGTTCCTCACCCTGACACACACACGAACACCCACACACACACACACTGCAGGAGCTTGTGAACTGTATTCACAAGTCCGAAACTAACGATCTAAAGCGCCAGATGATGATGGTGAAGCTGCAGGCATACTCTGCACGTTCCAGGTGTTTGTTGCATATATATATATATACATACAGTATATATATATATTATCCTCACAGATATTGCAGGATGTTGACGGGAGAGGAGAGCCAGATCGGGGGAGATGACGACATATGTGTATTTGATTTAGTTGAAGGAGTGAAGGTTTGTTCTGAGCTTCAATCGCTTCGCCGCAGGTCCAGGATATTTGGCTTCGAATTCGCGACCATTTGACCGATGCCCAAGAGAACATCATCAGCTCGGTGAGGGGTGAGGCTCGACACTGTGGACCAACTGAAGAGCTGAGCTTGCGCCAAAAGAGCAAGTGAAAGGAACATATCTAAATGTCCAAAGAGAATAAGAAACTCATTTAAGGTAACAAAGTAAGCTCAAGGAAAGCTGCATAGCAGCTGCAATTCGCATTTTCAAGTGGCTACAGAAGGGGCGGTCTCACCACCCCACTCACACGCTCTTCATTGGCACCAATTTGTCAGCTCATTTTGGATCACTGCCAGGTGCGCAAGCCCTCGCTCTTGGACGCAAAGACTTATTTGATAAGGAAACTCACCTCCAGCAGCAGGTGTGACATGGTGTGACATTAATTCTTGTTTTGACATTATGTTCAAGCATGTGCGGCCTGACGCTGGATGCAAACATGTCTCGCTGCGATTTGCCAGCTTCGCGAAGAAAACGTCAAATGTCTCCAACTTCAAGAAGCATCTACAGGCTGGGGCATAATTTGATTGACATTATATATGTAGTTGTCCCAAAAGCAGATATCAGATATTGACCGTCAGGTTGTTGAGGTAGTGTATCAAGGAGAGTCGCGACTCTCGAGATGAATCCATGAGTCGTTTGCCATTGATACATTGATACATAATGATACATGTTTTGATACCCAAGCCCTAAGCTTGCCTAGTAGGTCTTACTAGGTGCAGGGATGACTTTACGCACAGGGATGACTCCCCCATGGCCGCTGACTCGGTCAGGGCATGGCGGCCATCAAGGAGAGTCACCAGCCAGTGGACGCGGGCACGGAGTTTAACGCTCATGTCTTCGCTATGAGGTGGGGCCCCAGCGATGCGCCGGTTCATTCATGTCGATGTCCGACATCGGGATCTGTCGTACGGAACTTGGAACACGAGCAGATGCGAAATAGGTGTTGCTTCTCACCTCTCATTCCAGGCAGATGCGAAATGGAATCCATCAGGAGCTGGAAATTCAGCTTCAAAAAATTCAAGAGTATGTGGACAACGAAGTGACAAAGCCACATGACATGGCAAGAGTTAGCCTGTTTGTGGTGTGTTATGCTGCCAGCTGAGTACAGACTCTTTTTCTCAAAATGAAACTCTTTTGCTTAGGCACTCTGGTAGGGATTAGAGCGTGAGACGGGTCAATCAGAGGAGGCCCTAAAGTTTCGCCAAAGTGGCAAAGCGTGCCAAAGCCAAGTAGTGGCAGTAAGATTCTTAGGTTCTTCGAGCAGGTCTTAGGCCAAGTCCAAAGGCCTCAGAGATTCCTTAGAGAAGAGAAAGACAACACATTAAGGTATAAATTATATGATTTGGGCATATCTGGGATCCTTAGGTACCTTTTCAAGGGCCCAAACATCACCGTTGTTTAAAATATCTTTCCTAGGCAACTTGTCCAGCCAAGGTTCATAAGCCACCATTGGCCGTCATCTGGAGTTGATGAGGAGAATTGGCAAAACGCGCAGAACCAGCAGCCCGGACCGAAATTGCATTACATGGTGGTGAAAGGGCTGTGGCAAGGCCTGAGTGCTTCTAGAGAGGTTTTCCGACCATTGAGAATGAGTTTATCAAGAATGGCCGCAGAATGACCTAGCAATCTACCAATGCCCTGAGTTCTTTTCCTTGTCTCAGCACGTCATGTGCAATCTGGCTTAGGTGGGGTGTCGAGGCTGAGGATGTGCAGCGGCCCTCTTCTGGTCCAGTGTCACCAAGGAAATCGCCAAGACAATCGAAACAGGAATCTGCGACCGCTGAGTCATATGAGTCCAGACTTGAGCGACCTCAGCGACATTCTGGCCGATCTAGCCTGTCTTCACCTCGGATAGAGAAGATTCGCGACGAAGTCGCTGGCTCCTAAGCTGCAACTTTCAGCGGCTTGTATTGTGAAGCAGTCTGTGAGCCTCTTGTGAAATGGCGAAGGAGGGACCGATAACTACGAACAAATGACGCTCTTTTGGACTTCCACGCACCGTCATGCAGCAGAGCTCACCCAAGGTCATGGCTTAAATGGAGATGGTTTACGTCCAAAGCGGAGAGTGAGTGTGTCATCATAATGATGCCACCATTGGAGCTTCAACTTCCACCGCCAATGCGCAAGTTAGGCTGAGATTAGAGACTCCTGAGGTCCTGAGCAGACCAAGAATTCTGCATCTTTTTTTGTTTTTTAGTGAAGGATACGATAAGAAGTGCTGCACAGAGCTTGTGAGCAGCCTCCACATCTCGACAGCCTCAGCCTTGGCTAGCCGCTAGCTAGGCTAGCTAGCAATTCCAGTGACCGGCGCACCTTGAAGAGGTTGCAGCTGCTCACTGAAAAACGTTCAGGCACTGGTCGACAGTACATTCACCTTTCCCCCCTTCCTGGACCGATAGGGCTTTGAGCAGGGAGCACGCTCAATGCCATGGGCGCCTCACCATTTTTAAATGCTCTTGGAGACTTGGTGTATTCTGATCTGAAAGGCGCCGCCGTCTCCTCCTTTGTTACGGATGAACCTGTACACTGTACACAGTCGTACACGGTACACAGTCGTACACTGTACACAGAAAGAGGTAGGAGGTTTGTCGTTTGCAACTTGCAGACCCCCTGCCCGCTCGGCAGCCAAAAGGAGATTTACCATTGCCACATATTGGCACGTTACATTGTTGGAAATGGCTGGAATGGCCGTGGCCAAAGCATTGAAATGAATTCAACTCTTGAGAGTCCAATCTGTAAGGTGGCGGGACAGGAGGTGTTGGAAGCATCACTAGCCCAAGGCCAGTGAGAGACATTGAACGAACCTGCACCTGACTCCTTGCTTTTTGACAAGTTTGTTCAGTTGGAGTTGGAAGAGCTTTGTTCATGTTGACGCAGGGATGTGGTCTGGAGTAGCGTTGCTGAAGTCACAGCCCAAGTTGGATATCAGCTTCGCTCGCCTGAAAGTATATCCTTTCTGAGTTATCTAAATTGTTGTTTATCCACCAAACTGTTTAGCTGCCGACCAAACTATGTGCACAACGTTTCGTAAAGGGAGGATATTGGGGACACAAGACCTGCATGACACCTGCCAAACCAATAGGGGACAACCAACCGATACCCTTCCAATGACCGTGCTGGGATTCCAAAACCCTGTAAAGCCATGTACACTGATAGAGGGCCAAGTTTGGAGATGTCCTTGGTCTACGAAGTTAAATTTGGTCCGGCAGGCGGCAGGGTCAAGTATTGAAAGCCAGTGCTTGCATGTAATTCACAGAGGAGAACACTGCCCTCTCCTAAACCACAACAAGCTTTGACGGGTCAATCTTAAGCGAGATCACTCCGATCGCCTAAGGAGCCAAGAGCCTGTGCTTTTGCAGCTTCTCCAAGGCACAGTTGCATGGGAAACACGTTCTATCGGAACATGTCGAAATCATTTGACCATGCTGAAATAAACCCAGGAGATCCTAGGAGCCATGGCCTCCATCATTCTAGCGATGGCCTCCAACCTACTAGCGATGGCCTCCAACCTACTAGCGATGGCCTCCAACCCAATACCGATGGCCTCCAACCTACTAGCGATGACCTCCAACCTGCTAGCGGTGGCCTCCAACTTAATAGGGATAGCCTCCAACCCACTAGCGATGGCCTCCAACCTACCAGCGATGGCCTCCAACCCAATAGCGATGGCCTCCAACCTAATGGCGATGGCCTCCAACCTACTAGCG